CTAGAGAAAGACACAGCTGCTGAGCTGCCCCTCTCAGAACAAGAAGACAGTCCACACAAAGACTAAACACTGAGTGCCAAGGACATCTCAGCAACTCTGAAAATGTTTATTAGTAACTGGATAAACTATCATAGATGAGAAAGGAAACTTTATTCAGCTCTTATGTCAACACATTTCATGACCACAATCTCTCCACCTCAACTTCCCTAATTACTCAGCAATTAGTTTCAGTTCAGTTCAGTTGGTTCAGTTCAGTTGCTCGGCCATATCCGACTCTTTGTGACCCCATGGACTGCAGCTTGCCAGGCCTCCCTGTCCCATCACCAACTCCCAGAGTTTACTCAAACTCATGTCCATTGAGTCAGTGATACCATCCAACCATCTCATCCTCTGTCATTTTCTTCTCCTCCTGCCCTCAATCTTTCCCAGCATCAGGGTCTTTTCAAATGAGTCAGTTCTTCACATCAGGTGGCCAAAGGATTGGAGTTTCAGCATCAGTCCTTCCAATGAATACCCAGGACTGATCTCCTTTAGGTTGGACTGGTTGGATCTCCTTGCAGTCCAAGGGACTCTCAAGAGTCTTCTCCAACACCACAATTCAAAAGCATCAGTTGTTCGGCACTCAGCTTTCTTTACAGTCCAACTCTCACATCCATTCATGACTACTGGAAAAACCATACCTTTGACTAGACAGATCTTTGTTGTCTAAGTAATGCCTCTGCTTTTTAATATGCTATCTAGGTTTGTCATAACTTTTCTTTCAAGGAGCAAGCGTCTTTTAATTTCATGGCTGAAGTCACCATCTGCAGTGATTTTTGGAGCCCAGGAAAATAAAGTCTGTCACTGTTTCCACTGTTTCCCCATATATTTGCCATGAGGTGATGGGACCAGATGCCATGATCTTAGTTTTCTGAATGGCAAGTAGTTTATGACAACTTATTCATCACCTTCTATGTGCCAGTCCATGCTCTGGGCCCTGCAGAGATCCATGTCAGATGCCATGTGCTATGTGCTAAGGGCTTCCCAGGTGGCAATAGTCGTAAAGAAAAGCGAAAGTAAAAGTCCTCAGTCGTGTCCAACTCTTTGTGACTCCATGGACTATACAGTCCACGGAATTCTCCAGGCCAGAATACTGGAGTGAGCAGCCTTTCCCTTCTCCAAGGGATCTTCCCAACCCAGGGACCAAACCCATGTCTCCCGCATTGCAGGCAGATTCTTCACCAGCTGAGCCCCCAGGGAAGAGCCCGCCTGCCAATGCAGAAGACCGGGTTCGATCCCTGGGTGGGGGAGATCCCCTGAAGCAGCACACGACAACCTTCTCCAGTACTCTTGCCTGGAGATTCCCATGGCCAGAGGGTCCTGGCAGGCTGCAGCCCATAGGGTGCAACGAGTCGGACACGACTGAAGCAACTTAGCACACACACAGCACACACACACACACACACACACATGGTCTTCCCTGCTGGCTCAGTTGGTGAAGTGTCTGCCTGCAATGGGGGAGACCCAGGGTCAATCCCTGGGTTGGGAAGATCCTCTGGAGAAGAAAATGGCAACCCACTTCAGTATTCTTGCCTGGAGAATTCCATGGACAGAGGGGCCTGGTGGGTTACTGTCCATGGGGTCACAAAGATTCAGACATGACTGAGTGTACTTCACAGACACACTCGCTCACTCACACACACCCTCACACCCTCACACACTCACTCACTCACACACACACACACCCTCACACACACACACACCCTCACACACTCACTCACTCACTCACTCACACACACATACCCTCACACACACACACTCACACACACACACACACCCTCACACACTTACACACTCACTCACTCACACACACACCCTCACACACACACACACACTCACTCACACACACACCCTCACACACACACCCTCACTCACACACACACCCTCACACTCACACACTCACTCACTCACACACACACCCACACACACACACACTCACACACACACCCTCACTCACTCACACACACACACCCTCACACACTCACACACCCTCACACACTCACTCACACACACACACACACTCACTCACACACACCCTCACACACTCACACTCACTCACACACACACACACTCACTCACACACACCCTCACACACTCACACACTCACTCACACACCCCCTCACACGCACACACACCCTCACACACGCACACACACTCACTCACACACACACACACTCACTCACACACACACTCACACACACCCTCACACACTCACTCACTCACACACAGACACACACACACACACCCTCACACTCACTCACTCACACACCCCCTCACACACTCACTCACACACCCCCTCACACACTCACTCACACACACACACACCCTCACACACTCACTCACACACACCCTCACACTCACTCACACACACTCACACTCACTCACACACACACACACCCTCACACACTCACTCACTCACACACAAACTCACTCACACACACACACACTCACTCACACACAGACACACACACACACACACACTCACTCACTCACACACACACACACACACCCTCACACACACACTCACTCACACACACACACACACACACACGCTAAGTGGCTTCAGTCGTGTCCAACTCTTTGCAACCCCATGGACTGTAGCCTGCCGATATCCTCTGTCCATGGGATTCTCCAGGCAAGAATACCAGAGTGGGTTGCCATGCCCTCCTCCAGGGATCTTCCTGGCCCAGGGATCGAACTCCCATCTCTGCATTGTAGGCAGACTCTCTAGCACTTAGCAAACAAGGAAGCCCTTAGATAACAGAGCCAGTTCCAGATCTCCTTTCAAGGCGATCAGACTGGAAGGGTTGCTCACAAGCAACGCTGGCCCTTCCAGCTCTCTGCCCTTCCAGTATATCCTACTCACCCCTCAGGGCCCAGTCATCTTCGGGAGGGACACGGCCCACGGACTGAAGCTCACTGGCTAGACTCGGCTGCCACTGTACCACAGGCCTGATTTTCCACGGAAGAAAGTCCGACACCCCTGTGTTTTCCCAGGCATCAGCATGCACCTCAATCTCCTGTAAGACCTGAGGAAACAAAGAATGCTGGCCTACCCCTAAACATCTCCTTCGGTGGACACTGACATACAAACAAGGAAAATAAACAGGCAGAAACACTGAACAAAGTCACCTTTATTCTTTCCGCTTCCCTGTGAGGTGTGTCCTATTCAACTTCTCCCCTGAGGTGTTCCAGAGACATTTGGAGAAAGGGCTAAAGGAGTGAGGCCTTCATTTAATGAAGCCCATTGAGAGCACCGCATCCAGAAAAGTTGAGGTTTTTCTTGATCAGAAAAAGAGGGTGTGGTTTTTCACCTCTGTCTGAAGCTTTGTGTGTTACAGAGAGAGCTGTGTTGTCAAAGGATCCGAGGCACAGCCCGTGGAAGAGAAAATAAACCTGTGCCATAGCAGGGAGCCTCAAAACCTAGGTGTAGTGGTCTCCCACTGACAAAAGCCCCCAGGGGAACCTGGGTCTGGGAACAGATCATCTGCTCCTCTCTCACCTACATCATCCTCCACCAGGCATCATTCTGAAATCAAAATGTCCTGTCAAAATGGAGTGGCAGAGTTTAAAGAGCTCCATCCCCAAATTCCACTCCTTCTTCCCAACGCCAATGGTGAACAAGGACACCAGATAGCATCAGCTCTGCTCCATGTGTTTCCTAGAATAGGATTTGCACCCTTCTTTTGGGAGTCACTTGCCCCATTCCTGTAGCACCCAGTTCCTAATGGTCTGTGATGTACCCTCTGGGAAACCAGAATATGGCCCCATGAGGTTGAAGACCAAGCCTCAAGGCTAACCAGCTTCCAGGGGAGCCTTAAATCTAAAATACCTCCAGGCCGATCTTCACTGTGCTAAGCTTGGTTATCACCAGCATAGTTCTCAAGTTCATGAGTGCCTGGTGGAACAGGAAGTCCTCTAAGGCCCTCTCTTATCCCTGAGACCCAGCAGAAATGAATGTAAGATCTTGCAATCGGTACCCAGGTCCTTAAGATCCTTCCAATCCAACCAGACCTGCAACTTTCTTTGACACAGTCAACCCAGTGTCCACTTGGCACCCATGATATCCTCGTCCACTTTGGCCTGACTCCTATTTGGGTGCCTCACTCTGCTTTAGGTTTTTCTGGCTTCTGACCAACTCTTCCATCTACATGTCATGACTTCTTTCCAGCTTGACTATTTCAGGCCATCTACATGGGAATTTGATACATCCGAGCCCACTCACAAAGACTGGCATCATCTCTTAAGCTCATCCCAACTCCTACACCTGGTCCCCAAGCGTGTGAAGTCAGAAAGCTCCACAAGGGTGCATACTCACAGGCATCCCAAGGCCAGAAACTATATTCTCTTACTCTCCTATTCCTGCCACAGTACTAACCACATAGTAAGTGTTCAACAAATATTTTTTGATGAGTGAATAAAGTATAGCTACATCACAACTTGGGGCTTCCCTGAGTGGCTCAGTGGTAAAGAATCCACTGGCCAATGCAGAAGATGTGGGTTCAATCCCTGGGTCGGGAAGATCCTCTGGAGAAGGGAATGGCAACCCACTCCAGTATTCTTGCCTGGAGAATCCCATGGACAGAGGAGACTGGTGGGCTACAGTCCATGGGATTGCAAAGAGTCAGACACAACTGAGCGACTAAACAACAACAACAACATCACACCTTAGATAGATAGATGATGACTTAATATAACTCTTATTGTGCAAGTACTCAGAGTGCTTCTGAAAAATCAATAAGGTTATACTTATGACCCAAAGGATTATTCCTCCTAAACTGCTTTGAAATTCAGAAAACAACAGTGCTGTAAAATAGTCAACTGTTACTCAGTGGAAATGATCAGGGGAACAGATTACACAATTCACTTGTGGTGTGGAGGATACAGGTGAGTAAGGAGGGAAAGCAGAATTGCACATTATGGGAAGAGAAGAAAGAATCAATAAACAAGGCAAAACTCACCCTTATCATAATCATCTTCTTCAATTGCTTTATCTTGAAGTTTCTGAAGCTTTAATCTTAAGGATTTTACCTATGTTGGTTTGAAAGGGGAAAAAATGAAAACTGAATTACAATCTTGTTCACACAAACAAATTTGTTAAAGTTAAGAACACTTAGAAACTATTTTTAAAAAAAAGAAACTATTTTGAAGCTGAACCATACTATTCTCCTTTTAAAAAAGAACCACAAATGTACATTTTTTCAATGCCAGATGCATTCATTTGTCCAAGAAAAAGTTACATAAAGAAAAAGCATAATTTGAGCATAAAACCCCAAAAAGAGTTGGAATGTCATTTTTAAACAAAAACATCACACTGTACCCTTATCTGTGTGAAAAATGCATTATAAAAAGGAATACAAATTTCCTGACCTGACCAAATGTTTTCTGTTCAAAAGCATCACATTAAATTTATGAAAATAAACACACCAACATTAGAGGAGAAACCAGGAAAAGAAAACCATGAACTTCAACTCAACAGGCTGTCCTGAGGGCCGGGTGAGACTGAAAGACTTCATCAAAGAAGTCCTAAGGATCTTTCCATTATAGAAATGGGCACTGCCTTATTTAATCTCCATGTAGACTCAAGGATGGTCTCCCCAGTGGCGCAGCAGTAAAGAATCTGCCTGCCATTCAGGAGCCGAAGGAGACGTGGGTTCGATCCCTGGGTCGAGAAGATCCCCTGGAGGAGGAAATGGCAACCCACTCCAGTATTCACGCCTGGAGAATCCCATGGACAGAGGAGACTGGAGGGCTACAGTCCATGGGGTCACAAAGAGTCAGACATGACTTAGCAATTGAGCATGAGAACGAGACTGAATGATCCCATCACTTGTCTGAGAATTACCAACACATTCATTTGTTCATTATTTCTCTTCTCAACAGGAAGCTCTGGGATTTTCTGAAGGGACATTCTTGGCCCATCAATAATTGGGTTTAATCTTGTTCCCTGGAAACCAGCTTCCTGCCATCCTTTGCCAGCTTATACCTACCTCTCCTTCCACACCTCATTCATGCGTCACCCCCTCCAGTCCACGTTAGATGTCCTACCTCTCTATTGACAGTGCTGTATTTATTCATGATCTAAACCATTTCACAAATATTCACTCTTAAGTGTCAGGCACTGTTTAAGGGGCTGCAGATACAGCACAAAATTCTTAGCCCTCTAGCCTTATCAATTTTGTGTAAGAAGGCAAAAATAAACATAATAAGTAAGTTTTACAAGGCCTTAGAAAAAGATTAGTGCTAGGACAGAGGGAAAAAGCAGAACCACGAAGGGGGGCCAGGAAGGCTGGTAGACAGTTGGGTTGCAATTTTCAGTAATATCTCATTGAGAAGGTGATATTTGAGCAAAGATATATGAGTGGTAGGGCTTCCCTGGTGGCTCAGCGGTAAAGAACCCACCTGCCAATGCAGGAGACATGGGTTCGATCCCTGGGTCAGGAAAATACCCTGGAGAAGAAAATGGCAACCCACTCCAGTATTCTTGCCTGGAGAATCCTGACCTTGAAGCTCACTGGGAGACACATGTTCCAGCAGAAAGCAGAACTGCAACAGAGGATGCAGGCAGCAACTCCCCAGGCACCATAGAGTTAACAGGAGCCAGCCATGCCTGAAGAGTCTTGGTTAAAGGGGGAAGCCATAGCACAGGAGGTCAGAAAGGTCATGAGGAACATGGGATGAAGACATTTAAGAGTTCTGATTTCCAAGACTTCTCTGGCAGTCCAGTGGTTAAGACTTAGCCTTCCACTGTCAAGGGCACAGGTTCGATTCCTGATCAGATAACTAAGATCCCACATGCTGCATGGGTGTGGTCAAAAAAAGTTCTGATTTCACTCTGGAAGGCTTGGAAGCTACTGGGGGGGACTGAGTAACAGAATTCATGATTCAATATATGTCTGACATTTCCTCCTGACAGCTGTGGGTAAGGGCAGAAGTCAGGTGGCCAGGGAGGAGGGCATGGAAATAACCCAGGAAGGAGAGGGGGTAGCCTGGATTCTAGCAGGAGCAGTAAAGATGGTGAGAAGTGATGTCATTGTGGATATACTCAGAAGACAGTTGGTGGCTGACAGAATCAACAGGATTCACCAATAGATCCCATGTTGGGATGACAAAGCCAGGAGGATGCCAGGTTTCTGGTGTGAGCCACAGGAGGATGGAGGTGCAAGTTTCCCTAGCACCCACCGTACCAAGCAACAGCTATGACTGTGCCGTGTGGTGGGGTGTGGTGCCATGTGGTGTGGTGTGGTGTGGTGTGGTATGGTGTGAAGTCATGTTGTGGGGTGTGGCGTGGTGTGGTGTGATGTGGTGTGGTGTCGTGTGGTGTGGTGTCATGTGGTGTAGTGTCATGTGGTGTGGTGTGGTGTTGTGTAGTGTGGTGTGAAGTCATGTGGGGTGTGGCGTGGCATGATGTGGTGTAGTGTGGTGTGGTGTGATGTGGTATTGTGTCATGTGGTGTGATGTGGTATCATGTGGTGTGGTATGGTGTGGGTCATGTCATGTGGTGTGGTATGGTATGGTGTGGTGTGGTGTGGTGTCATGTGGTGTGCTGTTGTGTGGTGTTGTGTGGTGTGTTGTCGTGTGGTATGGTATGGTGTGGTGTCATGTGCTATGCAGTCATGTTGTGGGGTGTGGTGTGGTGTGGGTGGTGTCATGTGGTATGGTGTCATGTGGTGTGGTATCATGTAGTATAGTGTCATGTTTTGTGTGGTGTGGTGTGGTGTGGTGTGGTGTGGAGTCATGTTGTGGGGTGTGGTGTGGTGTGATGTCGTGTGGTGTCGTGTGGTGTGGTGTGGTCTGTGCACTCCATCCAACCTAGAGCATCTAGAAGGCAAGAGCCTCTCCATATCCATGCAGAAAATGACAGCGCTCACCCCGATTTCGTTCTTCACTGCTCTGGGCTCGTGGAGGGATTACACTTCCCTCCCTTCCTTGATCTGCTTCACGGGGTGTGTGTGGAAGAGACAGAGGTGGCTTGTGCTCTGAATTGCTCTGTGGATCCCTCAGCCTTCTCCTCCTTGTCTCAAGGACTGTGGGGGCTGTGCGCTCAGGGGTGGAGCAGGCCCCCAGCCAGCCCTGTGGAACGTGACTCATAGGCTAGAAACACCACTATGTTATGTGAAACCTCTTGTATTGCGCTGCTGTCTGTTACTAACCTACTCCAACCAACACAGCCTCCAAGCCAATCATGAGGTGTTGTACTCTTAGCAGTAGGCACGTGATTTCCAAGTTAATGACAGATGAATAAATGACCAATCACATTTATCCTTGAGCTGGTCCACATGACAAGTGCATATTTTACCAGGAACTTAGTATTAAATAGTAGGGATGGAAGACAGGCTGAGTGGCCAGCTCAATTGCCATGTGAAGTTATAGCATCATCACCACCACATGAGTTGATGTAAAAGAACCACAGGAAAGAAGGTCAAAGAAAAATTTGCAGCCAGTGCCCACCTCACTTTACCCCCTCGTCCAGCTATCCCTGTAGGACCCTGAGTTGCTGCCCTGCGATATATCTGAATGTCTATCTTGGCTGGAAGCACAGCCACTAATGGGCATGTCTTATCCAGCCACACCGCCCATGTGAGGCAGGCCCTTTGTCTCCTTTTCCTCCAGCTCCATAACCTCAGGTGGGACCCAGCACTCAGGGTCCTCCCACTTACTTCCCTCCTCTGCACCCCAGCTAGCATTTCCTTTCACCACAATTTTCTCAGTTCAGTTCAGTTCAGCTGCTCAGTCATGTCCAACTCTGCAACCCCATGGACTTCAGCATGCCAGGCTTCCCTGTCCATCACCAACTTCGGGAGCTTGCTCAAACTCACATCCAATGAGTCAGTGATGCCATCCAACCATCTCATCCTCTGTAGTCCCCTTCTCCCGCTGCCTTCAATCTTTCCCAGTATCAGGGTCTTTTCCAATGAGTCAGTTCTTCACGTCAAGTACTGGAGCTTCAGCTTCAGCATCAGTCTTTCCAATGACTATTCAGTACTGATTTCCTTTAGGATTGACTGGTTGGATCTCCTTGCAGTCCAAGGGACTCTCAAGAGTCTTCTCCAACACCACAGTCCAAAAGCATCAATTCTTCAGTGCTCAGCTTTTTTTACGGTCCAACTCTCACATCCATACATGACTAATGGAAAAACTATAGATTTGACTAGATGGACCTTTGTCAGTAATGTGATGTCTTTGCTTTTAATATGCTGTCTAGGTTTGTCATAGCATTCCTTCCAAGGAAAAAGCATCTTTCCCAACCCCTGGTAATGTCCCTGGGTGGCTATTTCTAAACAGCATAAAATACACAGTCGATTCTCATATGTGGTCATTATGTTCCATATTATTACTGGGAAAGCTCAGTTAGCAAATACTGAACCACTGTTTCCAGGGGGAAAATGGGGTTAGGTCACAATATTTTTGTCAACTGATCAATATATAACCTTGTTTTTTGTGTGTTTCAGTTTAAAGATGCTGTCTGTGTGTGCTAAGTAGTTTCAGTTGTATCTGGCTCTTTGTGACCCTGTGGACCATAGCCTGCCAGGATCCTCTGTCTATGGGGATTCTCTAGGCAAGAATACTGGAATGGGTTGCCATGCCCTCCTCCAGGGAAATCTTCCTGACCCAGGAATCAAACCCATGTCTCTTATGTCTCCTGCATTAGCAGACAGGTTCTTTACCACAAGCACCACCTGGGAAGCCCTTAAATGTGCTATATTTAATATTTATCTCTGCTTCATTAACATTCAGCTCACAACTCACACTTGAAAGAGGCTCATCTAGGACATGCACTTTCTCCACTTAGGCACATGGCAGCCTTCTTGTGCTTACGAGTACCAGACAGCACTGCCAGTCCTGTGCTTGGGAACCAGCTTAAACAGTGACCTCCCAACAAAAAACAAATAAAACATTTGAAAAGCATGGTATTAAAAATTTTTTAAAGTTTTTAACTGAATCACTTTGCTGTACACCTGAAACTAACACAACATTGTAGATCAATTACACTTCAGTAAAAACACAAAATTTAAAAAAAAACTTTATACCAAATTTGAAAAAACCAGGCCACCTAAAGTACACCAGTTTACAGTCTCAGCTGAAACAAGACCTCAGCTAGAACATGCATATCGGTTGGCTCAGATTTTTAGTCATTCTGTGCACGTCCACAAGGGCTTCCCGATGGCCCAGCAAGTAAAGAGCCTCTTGCAATGTAGGAGACAAAGGACACGCGAGTTTGATTCCTGGATCAAGAAAATCCCCTGGAGGAGGAAATGGAAGCCCACTCCAGTATTCTTGCCTGGAAATTCCCATGGACAGGGAAGCCTGACCGGCTATAGTCCAAAGGGTCCCAAAGAGTCAGACAAGACTGGGGGACTGCATGCACATCCACAAAAGACCAGGGAAGCATTGCGAGCACTGACTTTGGACTTCAGTAAGTTTTAACAAGTAAGTGAATTCCCAAATACAGAATCTATAGATATGGAGGATCGGCTGTATTTAACAGGAGCTAAAATTCGAATTCCTGAGATTTTCATTTTCCTTAAGGAGAGAGAAGGGGGTTAATGAATTAGAATATAATATTTTTAAAAGCCCCAGAACACTAGAATCCCAATCTTTGAAGGGATCTTTTTGAAGATCCTTAGCTCAATACTTTCCCCAGTTCTGTAGCCCAAATGAGCAATCTGGGGTTTCTGCACAAACATGATGAAAAAAGCAAGGCCTCCCTCATCAAGGACAACTCAATGGTCGGGAGGCTCTTCCTCCATCTGAAGCAAAATCTGCATTCCTATAAGTCTTTCACCCTGGACAGAGTTCATTTTGTCACTCCACCACCCTGAATAAAGGTCATCCCTCTTCCACACAACAGACATGCAAATCACTGCAAAGAGCATGATGTTACTCACTATCCAGGTGCTGGATAAACAAAGGAACTTACACTACAGATCAACTGTGTCCAGATCCTATCGTCTGAGAGAAGATGTGAGTTTAATTTGAACTGTAGGGTGAGAAATGGAATATTTCCTGCCATATCAGTAAACACGGCTGTCACAGTCATCACTGACTGCAGCCTTCCGATGTAACCCAGTGAGCCCTGAGGGAACTCAGGAAGGAAAAGAATATCTGTCATCTAGCAACCATCAGACTGCAGCCATTCCCTATGGTGAGCCCCAAGGAAGCTCAGAATGTGAAAAACACAGAATATTGGCCCCAGATAGCTGAGGTCGAGTATCAAAGGAATGATTTCAGTGAGCCCAGACTCTTGCATCTTCCCATACACAGAAAAGTGCTAAACTACTTAACCTGGGATATCTGGGTTTTGTTAATTAACAATAATCTTTTGATGTTCAGAGTACCTGCCCTTTGTTGCAAAACTGCTATATAACCTGGCTCCCCCTCTTGCAACTTTGGAGCAGTTCTCTCAGGGTCACTTGAGATGCTATCTCCTGGGCTTAAGTCCTAAAAATTCCCACCAAATAAAACATAACTCTCAACTTTTAGGTTGTGAATTTTTTTTTAAAGGTTGTGAATATTTTTTCAGTCAACAAGGAAGAAGAGTGGATTCCCTTTTTGACTCAAATTCTCTGCCTGAGCCATTTCTTTAATGAGCAATACTCTATAACAATGAGCAATATTCTGAGTCCCTGCTGGGCATCAGAACCAGTCTGAAGCACTGCTCATGGACCAGCACTTTTAATCTTCACAACAACCTATCAAGCGGGGACTGTGGTTACCTCCACCTACTACGAGAGCATCTTGAGGCACAGAACAATGAAGGAAACAACTTCAGGTCACACAGTAAGGAAGTGAAAGCACCAGGCTACCAGTCAGGCAGTCCCACCAGCATGCCAGTAGTATAAGCCCCCGGGTGACCTGCCAGAAACCAAGACCCCATAAAACAGCTCTCCGGTAGCTTATAACTAATTATGTCTTTTTAAAAGCTGCATTTGGTCAATAACAGAGATAAGAAGAGACATATCTAGGGTGTGTTTCATTTCTAAGATCACGGAATCTAAAAGGTGAGCCAATGTGGTTTTCTGCAACCAGAGCCTCTAAAATTCCAGCTCCCAGCCACCCCAATGTCCTGGTAGTTCAGAGAATGGCATGGTGAGTCTGTGGCCCTCACAGAGCATATCTGTTCAAGGTTTCACAGACTCCAAAGTATCAAAAAATCTAGGTTCTCGGGAGGGCATGGTCTATATCTGGCTATATATATGCATGCTAAGTCACTTCAGTCGTGGCTGACTCTTTGCGACCCAATGGACTGTAACCCACCAGGTTCCTCTGTCCATGGGATTCTCCACCAAGAATACTGGAGTGGGTTGCCATGCCCTCCTCCAGGGGATCTTTCCAACCCAGGGATCAAACCCAGATCTCTTGTGTCTCCTGCATGGGTAAGTGGGTTCTTTACCACTAGCACCACCTGGGAAGCCCCTTATATCTTGGTAAAAGGAGTTGAAAAGAAGGGAAAAACTGTTGGTTCTACCAAAACTGAGGGACTGGATATTGTGTACTGACTACAGCAGACCCATTGCCAAGTGATTTTCTGTTTGGTTATCTGGGAGGAAGGGAAGCTGGTCTTTATAACCACATTGTGCTTCTGCTTGACGTGGGTCAAAACTTGGATTTTTGAAATGCAGATATGTTGTTGAGATTTTTCTTAAAAGATCTGGAAATAACGTGTTGCAAACTGGCATTCAGAGTCCAAAAATCACAATGGTGCAAACCTCCACAGAGTGTTTGGATCCTTGTGTGTGCCTCTCAGCATCTCTCCTTATACCTCAGACATTCAATCCAAGAAGTCTATCAGTTAGATTCCTGCAGCCCATCTTACCAAGATAAATTATTTCACTAAAACCAAAATTTTAATCAAGCACCAGGCAGTATGCCAGGCATCAGGCATTGAAAAATGGCTAAGAGAAGTAAGCTGGAGATAAAGAGCTCACGGTCAAGTGAGGAACTTGGATCGCAAACAACTGATTATTAAAGTGACGAGTGCTGTCACAGGGCACATCCAAAGGGCTGTGGGAAGGGTGGGAGGGAGGCATTCATTCGGTCTCGGGGCGGGGGGGGCGGGGGGTAGGGAGGAGAGGTCTCACAAGGAAGTGGCTTTGGAGCCACACTGACAGGAATCGGAAGAGCTCGGCAGGAAGGTCACCCAGGGAGAGGCCCAAGACACAGGAAGAGAGAGCGGCCGGACAGCTGAGCCGGACGAGGGAGGCGCTGGGCAGCTGCAGCAGGTCGGGAAGGGTCTCCACTGTCCGGATGAGGGGTTTGGAGACCATCCTAAGGGAAGCAAGATGCCACCAAATGTTTTAAGCCAAGGAATAACAGCATCCCAGCAGTATTCCCAAAGACAACACTGCTGACCTCGCAGAGGAGGAACTGGGGAAGAGAGACTCTGGAGGAAAGTCAATACGTCAAGACCTCTTACTGAACTCGGGTGGAACATAACAAGCATTTGAACCAGGCAGGGACCATGGCCGTGGCCGTGAGAGTAGGTTAGCTGCAGGACTGGGGGCGTTTAACGATGGAGCAGAGGTTGGGAGAGAGCAAAGGGGAAGGTGCTGAAGAACCTGCAGCTCCTCTAAGGAGCTGGGTGCATTCTATTAGCTCAAATCAACAGTTACAGATCAACAGTGACGCCTGTTAGGACTGGTTTAACGGGTAAGACAGTGGTGTCAGTTTTGGACATGCCCGACTCAAAGACTCCGTGCACATTGCACTGTCCCTTGCACACTGGCCCAGCTGCTCTATCTCCCTGGGTGATAAATCTGATGGCTGGTCTGAGACGGGGCAAACAGGGATGTGGCTGGGACTTTAGGCCACAGGTGAGGGGCTGAGAGCAAATGAGATCAGTCCCTCGGAATGAAAATGAGCCTCACATTTTCAGGTTCTCCTTCCAATCCTGATAAGGAGGCTTTACTTCCCTACTTACATGTACCTATGCCACACACACATGCATACACATATGCACACACATGCACATGTGTATACACCTCCACATATATACACATGCACACATGTACACACACACACATGCACATAGATATACATGTGCACATATACATGCATGCACACCCCAGAAGGAAAACAGTCTTTCAACAGGACGAGTCAATGGGTCACCACACCACAAAGCACCTCTGCCCGGGTTTCCCTGGGAACTTTCTAGGGTAGAACAAGACTGCCTAGTCGACGGTGGACCCACCCCTCAGATAACTGGGTGGCCAGCAACACTGCAATGTCAGGACATACATCTACACAGTCCATCCTAATTTCCAAAGCACTTACATTCCCACTGAACCACAGAATAACCCTGTGTGGTGTTATCATCTCTAAAAAAGGAAACTAAGGGGCTGAGAGGTTTAGTGACCAGAAACAAAGCCCCCGATTCTATGTCAGGAGCTCCCACGGCTACAGTGGGAGATGAGCTATAAATGCAGAAGCGACTCTGGATCGCCCCCAATATGGAGCATCACCACCTCTATATCACCCAGTCCATCCACACACCAGCCAGCTCCATCTCCCCTGTTCCCTGGTCCCAACCTCCCACTTCAAAGAAGAACTCTGCTGAGCCAATCGGGAGTCACCCATGCCAGAAACTGCAGAGAAGCCTGTGGCCCAACAAACAACAAACCTGAGCATCTAAGGGACAGAGAAAACGAGACAGATTTGAGTTCAGACTGAAAGAGAAGAAGCAGGAGGGCAGAAACATCTTTTTGCAGCCAGCCACCAAAGGTGCTGCCACATTTTCCAGTGAGAAATCAGTCAACCCCAGAAGCGTCTTTTCTGGCCCTCTGCCCAGAACTAATCTGAGCCGTGACCATCCCGGGCCTGTGGGCTGGTAAGACACCCACCTCCAGCCGTCTCCGCTGGCCCTGCAGACAGTGCAGCAGTGCTGGCTCACATTTGCTGAGCAGGGGGTCCCACCGGTGAGCATCCCCGGGGCTGCTGGCCTCAAACCACAAGGGATCCAGGGAGCAGGAGGAGGCAGCATCCGTGTCCAACAATGGAAGAGTCTGGCACTCCAGCCCGGGGCTGCCCCCCGAGGTCTGGGAAGCGTCTGCCAGGCTCTGAGAAGCCTTGAGAGTGAAGGGGAGAGAGAGGAGCTGAGGATGATCGTGGGGCCCATCCAAGCTGGCAGCCTTGGCCTCCATCTCCTTCAGGCTCTGATGAGGGCCCTCAGCCTCTCTGGAGGGTGGGCAGCCTTCTGCTTCTCCCCGCTCCCCGGCAGAGCCCAAGGAGAGGCGAATGAAACTAAAGCTGGAGGTAAAGACATCCTGAGAGCTGGCAGGGACAGAGGGGGCCTGTGGGCCACTCCCGAGGCTGCAGCTGGTGTCACTCACGTCCTCCGGGGATGGACAGCCTTTGTCCCAGGCTTCCTGGCAAGGGCTCGGGGCCTCGCGAGTGTCCATGGACAGCAACTCCCCTTGACAGCCAGTGGCCCTGGGGCCACACAGCCTGCTGAGCCTATGGGGCAGGGCAGTGCCAGCTCGGGGCTGAGCCCCAAGGAGCCCTGGGCTTCCTCTCACGGCCGTCAGAGCCGGTCCTCGGTGCCCTACGGAGGCCAGAGCTGAGGCAGCCGTGCTCCTGGGAATGAGGCTCCCAACTGAGCGACCTCGCCACTGGCCTCCAGGGTCAAGGCCACACGGGCTGGCCCTGGACTCAGGGCGCTGAGACTCCTCGCTGCACGCCCCACCCTTGGCCCGGAACGGAGCGCCCACTGGCGGAGAGAGGAACCCGATCCTGGGCCCAGCTGCGCTTCTCATGTAGCCCGGCCTCCGTGCCAGCCGCCTCCTCCGAAAACACGCTGCAGGTGGTGAGCAATCTTGAGAGCTGCCTGGAGAGAAAAAGAAAACATCATCATAAATACACACACACACACACACATGTCCCTGGCTCAGCCAGAACTGGGATGGAGAACAACCCCGGGCTCAGAGGTCATCCCTTGGGCATCTGTCAAACAAAGATGCCGACTCAGTGGTCACCAGACCAACCTGGTAAAGAAACTCTGATGATCCTCAGGAAGCGCCCCCTGGGGTGTGTAGACACAGCCCAGCCTCCCAGCTCCTCTGTTCAGCAGAGCAGCTGACATGGCTATTATGCTAACATGTCTCAAGCACAACCTCGGCAGTTCCTTCTGAGCCTCCAGCATCCTGCCTGTTGATCTTTCAGGTGCATCAGCACTTTCATCCTGGAGTGGCCTGGAAAGCAAAGGAGCTGAAGACAAATGCCAGCACACTCCTCAGAATGAGAGCCAATCACCTATGCTGGCTACTCTTAAGATATACATATGGTTTCATTACCTGAGTTTTCCATGGCTTTGCATGCCTACGGACCGTGGAGAGCTGCCTGAGACCCTATGCCCATCAGTTCATCTCACAGTGAATGACAGGAGGCCCTCTTTGATGTATTCTCCAAACCAGGGGCTGTGTTCCCCTCCCAGCTATGTGAGAAGGATAGAGACAATAAAATTGTTGATGCCTCTCAGAGGCATGATGCTATAGCAGCTGAGAGCATGAGTTTCGGCACCTCATTGCCTAGTTCAAAGGACATTGTGCCATTTTTTGCTGTGTGAAGTTACTTAGCCTCTCTGTGCCTCAGTTTGCTAATCAGTAAAATGGAGATATCAACAGTACTTCTCTCCTAGGATGGTAGCGAGCATTAAACTAAATGAGTTACTACAGGCAGACCCCTCAGAACAGTGCCTGGCACTAACAATAATTGTGATTAAAGTGTTATTAACAGTTACTATTTTGATATTTTGTAGCACCTCGTTACTCATGACGTATCCTCATCTGCATTAATTTCCATAGCTCCCTACCAAAGCCATGTGAATCAACCAGGAATTTTAACATTTCTTTCAGTTAAGGAAACTGAGGCTCAGAGAAATCAAACCCCTGCAAGCGGCTAAGTCTTGGGCCCTGGAACAACTCGAATCAGACTGGATGGAAGATGCAAGAGCAGACAATGTGAGGCACAGCTGTGTGTATAGGGCAGCCTGTGCTGAGAATTGGAGCAGAGCTCCCCACCCCTACTGGGTCCACACATCCTGCCCCACTTCCCAGAATACAGATGGTCTCAGATTCTTCATCAGGTAAACAGAGAGCGCTAGGCATCCAGGATCCCACTGTGTTATGACCACGCCCTGCCTTTAAGTTGCTTGATAAATGGTGAATAAATGAACAGGTGCGAGGATATATGGAGGGAAAGTAAGATGGATGGATGGATGGATGGACTGGGGCCCATCTGACCCCAAATCACATGCTTTTTCTATATCCTTTACCTCCAACGACACCACTTAGGATGACAAGTTGCAATGACAAGAAGTCAAAAGAAAGGTTTTATTTTTTATTTTTTCTTATTTTTCTTTTCTTCCATCAAGGTTTGAATTGGTGGGAAAGAACATGACAAAAAGCTGCAGAAAATGTACAGAAGGAATCATTAATACATCATTTTGGACCACTCACTAGGATGGCTACTATTGAACACACACACAGAAAATAATTTAAGTGTTGATGATGATGTGGAAAAATTGAAACCAGTGTGCTCTATGGGAATGTGCACTTATGGGAATGTAAAATGGTATCGCTGAAAAGAGTACAGAAATTCCTCAAAAAATTAAAAATAGAATTACTACATGGTCCAGCAATTCCACTTCTTAGTATATACCCAAAAGAATTGAAATCAGGTTTCAAAGAGATAACTGTACCCCTGTGTTCATAGCGGCATTATTCACTATACACAAAGGTGGAAACAACCCAAGAGAGCCTTGACAAATGGACGGATGACACATGGTCTGTCCACACGATGGGAACTTATTCAGCCTTATTTAAAAAAGGGAAATTCTGACTCCTGTTACAACATTTCATGAACCTCAATCTTGAGAACATGACGTTCAGTGAAAGAAGATAGTCACAAAGGGACAAGTATGTTCGATTCCACCTACATGAGATACCTTGAGGAGTCAAATTAATAGAGACAGAAGGTAGAAAGATGGTTGTAGGGGCTGAAGGAAGGCAGACGGCTGGAGGGAGGAGAATGTTGGGAGCTAGTGCTCGGGGGGCACAGAGCTTCACTCTGGGAAGACAACAAAGTTCTGGAGACGGACAGGGTGACAGAAACAAAGCAATGCTAACGTCTGTAATGACACGGAACTGTACACTTGAAAATGGTTACAAGGGTAATTCTGTGTTATATGTGTTTCACCTCAATAAAGAAAATTTTTTTTTTAATAGACCAAACTGGGTCACCATGCTCTGTGATCCCAAGGAGACCCACCCTCTCCCTCATTGCTCTCGCTATCTGAGGCTGCCCGCTGCACCTGGAGGTGGTCAGCACAGGGCAGAGGCATGCCAAGAAGAACTAACTCTCCTCTGCCTGTAAAACTGGCAAAATATTTTTCAAAGAACAAGGAATCCAGAAGGAAGCAGAGAGAACACTGAACTCTGGCTTCAATTACCAAAGGAAAACTATTCAGCAATTTCATACCTTCAAAACAGAGTCCTGTGAAATCTGTATTGTCTTTTGGCTTAAAGAGACTTTAAACTATTTTTTTTATGCAAGTCCAATCACACAAATAACCCTTCTGAAGTTAAACGGGCAACGTTAAATAGAAAATAATTTGTTTGAAATTTCACTTCTTTTCAAGTGCCTGTAGGCCCTTGGGTCTGAGTAGCCCTCCTTAAAGCTACTCAACCAAGGGTCTGGAACCTCCCCAGGCCTGGCCCAGCTGCTATCCAAGCAGTTCCCCAATGGGAGCCCGAGTTCCTGGGTGGGGGGCGGGGGTGTCCTGTAAGATGCCGTCAGGCCACAGTTTTCATCAAATGAGGGGCTGAGAGGTAGGGGTGGGGAACGGGGGGAGCCCAGTCCCTGAATCCTCCTGTACACCAGACATCCCCCCAGGTGGGAGCCTTCCCAGCATGTGGCCCCAGAAACAGAGACTGTCACACGCTATCGATCCTAAGCCTCCAGAGAGGGCAGAGGAGCTAGTAGGGTTGGATCTGGAGGGCACCTGTGGAATGAGCCAGAAGGGGTATCAGAAACCCATACGGAGCACACGGCTGCTCTGAAACCTTTTTCCACTTATTTTTAAATTTTTTTTTTTTAGGGACATTTATGATGTCCCTATGGAGAAGGAGCTGGCAACCCACTCCAGTATTCTTGCCTGGAGAATCCCCATGGACTGAGGAGTCTGGCAGGCTGTGGTCCCTGGGGTTGCAAAAAGTCAGACATGATTGAGCAACTTAACACACACACGCGCACCTGATGTCCCTCCGTGCCTGCATGCTAAGTCACTTCAGCCATGTCTGACTCTTTGTGACCCTATGGACTGTAGCCTACCAGACTCCCTGTCCGTGGGGTTCTCCAGGGAAGAATACTGGAGTGGGTTGCCATGCCCTCCTCCAGGGGATCTTCCCGACCCAGGGATCGAATCCTCATTTCTTAAGTCTCCTGCATTGGCAGGAGGGTTCCCAACTGGGAAGCCCCAGCCCTCTAACCAGAAACCAACTGTTACTTATCTACCCTGCCTGAAATCTGCCCTGATATCCAAGCCCAGCCTTCACATCCTGCGGTTGAGGAAGGCTTCTAATGCATCAGACCTTGGAGAGAAAGAGTCCTTCTGGCACCTTGCTGCAGTCAGCTCTGGGAACACAGGTGCAAGCGGGCAGGAAGTTGACTGTGGCAAGACGAGGGAGGGACCTGAAGCCAGCTGTGCCCTCTGTTCTGTGTAAAGCCAGAGAGGGCTCCAGTCTGCGCAGCTGGCCCCAGACAGGCTGAGACGGAGGCAGGACCTCAGCAGCTGTCTCCTTCCCTTGCAGCCTCACACGCCACAGCAGGCTCTAGGGGAGGGGAGCACAGCCCTCACTTCCTCTCCACGGCGCAGACCGGCAGGCCCCTGCTTGTGTGGGGTCCCATCTCCACCCTATCCACCCAGTGAGCTCTGAGACTGGAGGGAGGGAAGGATGAGGGCTTCGACTCGGCCCAGATGTCACGGGGCTCCCACACACAGCCCAGATAAGATACCCAGGAGCATCTGCTTACATAATTTATGCAGAAAATTGGAGAAACCAATGTCACCAGCCCCGTCAGCAAGGATCCTGCCTGCCCCACCTCTAAGACTCTCCCTTTATCCATCCAACCCCTCCCCCATCAGCTACCTTGTCCAGATTACCCAGCTCACAGGCCTTCACCAAGAGTCCACATCACTCCTCATCCCTATTTATTGACACCCAGCTCTGTCAGTTATTCTCTTTGGTGTATATAAACTGTTCTCAATTTATGCTATAAATAAGCTCCATGAGATCATTACAACAGCCCCCCGCCAAATCCTAGTATACAGAGAAGGCATCTAATATACATTGACCAAATCATATTCATTTTTGACTAGGAAATCTAAACTACGAGTTTAAGAAAACATACTCATGAATTTACTTGGAAGACCTTAAAGCCAATACCCAAGTTAAAATCTACACAAAATGCTCATGTGGGTTTGGGAAAGTTGCTCGGTGATGCTAAGGCCCCGTGGGGAAAGCACTTCTGCCTCCTGAAGGGGAAACACAGGGACTTGGAGGCACTGCTGAGGATGTGTAGAATAGTCAGAGAAATACAACATGATGACTTCACAAAACACAACCTGTGTATAAGTGTACAGTGGAAACATAAATGAATATACTCTTTTCATGGAAGTAATTTTAATCCTATTTGTAATGGTCAAGGCATAGACTTTTATAAAATGTTCAGATTAACCAAAGGTTCCAGATCATAAAGAAACCACACAAGCCTGAGAATTAACTTGTTTTCCAAGAACCAGAATCCAATCATATACATTAAGCACAA